AATTTGAATTTGATCGAATCAAATCAAAGATTAATTCATATTTGATCAAATAATTTTTTCTTTAATTTGAATTTGATCGAATCGAATCAATTATTAATTTGAATTTGTATTTGATTTGATTTTCAAATCGAATATTCAAATATCAAATCGAATTGCGGAACCCTAATTATTAATATCTATTTACTAATGACTATCATAAAATATAAATTTATTTAATAAATACTTTTATTTTAATTAATTAAAGAATTTTTTAAAAAAGAAAAAAAGAAGCCAATAAATTTATTTTTTTTACAAGTAAAAAAATTAGATTTTCTTTTCTAGTAAATAAATTATATGCCGATCAATTTCGTACCAATCAAAATCACTTAATTTAATAGAGCTTATTATAAAAAACAGTTACCTTTTTATTTCTTTTAAATTTTATTTTTTTAAAAATCTTGAAAGATTTTTAAGTGTTACATTTTTATTGTTAAATATAGACTTCCTGCACCATATCACCTTTTTTTTATGACTTTTTGACTTGGTAAATATCACAAAAGCTGAAGTAAATTCAACTAATTGGTTTGTATTTTTTTAGTTTTTAGGTAAAGATGATTCTTTAATAGAGGGTTCTGAATCAAAATTTTAACGTTAAAAAAAAAATGCTATTATATATATTATAAAGATCACGTGATATTAACACAAAATGGCAAAAAAAATGAGCATTAGTTTCCATCCAGCTACATCCATATAGATAGATTCTTAATTGGATTTATATTAGCATCACATTACTCTGAAGACATTATGGATAAAATCTTAAGTCCTTTGAAATAAGCGAAAAAGTGGACCAAAGACCTAGAATTTAAAAAGTCAAAAGAAGTAGTAAGCAATATGATGGGATTCTATTTCGTATTTAATGACCTGTTGAATCTTCTGATATTTCAATTCAATTTACTATCCAATATTTGAAACGTTTATCAACTTGGTATGGAATGTGAATATCAAAGAGGGAAACTTGAACTTGTACTTGAACTGACTTCTGTGTTATTTAGCGTATTTTAAGATGAAAACCAAAGGGCAGATGCTTTTATGTTGTTGGCTCAAATTATTTTTTGATAAAGAAATAAAAATTCAGCCAGAAGAGTCGTAAACAGAAATCAGAATTTTACGATAAGACATTCATGTTTACATGGTTTTCTTATTAATTTGGATGGTATGTATATGTATATCTTTATATTCGCTATCATGTCCTCTAACTTCAAATATAACAATGCAGGATCTAATGTATCAATATTGTGTGCTGTCTGTGTCAGACGAACATTTCTAGCTTTATAAAAAAATTAAAAAGAAAAATTATCGAATCTGAAGTCTTTTGCAATGCTATTCGTCTTTTATTTCCATGCATAATAAAGTTGATTATGAGAAGGAACAGCTACCATAAAATATAAAAAAAAGAAATTCTATACGTCGAAATTTATGCATTGTGGGAAATCCATGCCGAAAGTAAGCAAAAGAGAGACCAGAAAGGTTTGGTCAAATTCAAAAGGACATGCTTCGAAATACGTTTAGCACAAATTATGGGCAGATTATAGCCTTCAAATAGGCTGGAAAATTATCGTAATGGAAAATTTGCAGAAGTATGAAACATTATGTGCTCTCCGTTCAAAAATACTTTTCCAAACGAAAATATGCTGTGAATTCATTTCATGATTTAGATTATTTTCATGGAAATCTTCGTGATAACAACATTACAAAATGGAGAAATGGAAAAGAAAGGACCTGAAATCCTAAACCTTATTATAAGCTCATCAAAGAGGATCAAGATCATCATTTAGTTGACCTCAAAAAAAGCGATGACGCCTCTGTTAAACGTACAAAAAAATTTATACAAATTTTTCATAGCATTATTTTCCTTCGAAAAAGAAATAGAATTTATGCTTTTTTTGGATTTGTTAAATTCTTTTATATATTCATTTGAATAATTGAAAAAAGTAATTGACCCCAAATGCAATTAATAATACTTGAACAAATTTGGTGTCAAAATTCAAAGACTGCAACGTACTTAAAATAAAATAAAATATTACAATGACTTTGTTGAAACTGCTATTTTTAACCAATAGCTCCGACAAAAATTAAATCTCAATCATATAAATACCTTCTCTTCATAATTTACAATACTGTAAGTTCGTCCGCTTTTACAAGTTAATTTTCACAATATTATCATTAATCTCTTAAATGAGTTAATCGGTTCCAAAATCATTAACAAAACTTGACATCCTTCGTTCAGGTAACATCATGAGATTTTGAGGGTCCTGTAAATCATCATTATCTGAAAAGTTTGGATGATGCATTACTGAAAGATGTCGTAATACATCCTTCTTTGTAATTAATCCCAAAAGTTGTCCGTTCTTTGTAACTAGGACATATCGTAGCCCCTTATAATAGATAAATAAACGCTTTATAATAATTTTCATAAATTATTATTATTATAATAAATAATATATCTTTACCATCTTCCTAAATAATTCAATTACCATTTCCATTGGAAATTTATGTGACACGGTTATTGGTGTCTATCAAAAAAAATAAATAAATAAATAAATAAATGAAAATCATGAATAAATAAAATTTTATAAACTTTACAATAAGATAAATAAAATAACAAAATGTACTTGATCCATCCATGGTTGGAAATCAATAAAAGGTGATGAATCAAGTACAGGAAGGTTGCTAGAAAAGTAACAGGAACTAGATGATGAAATTCCTTGTTTTCCCCTTGCTTTATCTAAAATGAATGCGAAAAAAAAACCAAGTTATAATAAATATCTTTAATTTTTATAACAATTATATTAAGATCTTAGCTTCATACCAATTGCATATTTCAACTCTGAACGTGAAATATAACCATTAAGTATCATATTCTTTGCTTTATTATTAACTACAGGAAAACCTTTATAACCTGTATCACGCAATAGCTGTTCTGTGTAATTATCGGAATATGAATAGAAGGATAAATAAAGTTATTTCGAAAGAAATAAATCCAAGATAAAATCAACATACTTAAGCTATCCAGTGTATTATGACCCGTTGTGTCTATTACCATCAAATCTTCAACTCGAGTCATGACTTGAGAAGCCGATGTATTATATACATATTCCTCTTTAGTATCCAAAAAAGGATATTCATTCATACGTATCCAACCATCATAGATGCCTTCTTTATCAAAAGCGTCACCAACCCACTTGCTAATCATTACTATATATAAAATTTTGTTTAATAATCCAATCATATTTAATTAAAGTAATATCTATTTCCATACCTGTGATCATAATGGGCAGTACATAAGTTAATGCACCAGTAAGTTCAAACATAATTACAACTAGCGATACTGAATATAAATGTAATTGATTAATTTTGGGTTAATTTCATAATTTCAATTTACTAGAGTTGAAAATTGAATAATTCTAACCGGTCATTCGCGTAATTCCTCCAAAGGTTGCGGCAGCACCAACCATAGCATACATTCCTGGGGTAATACATTGACCATCAGGTGCACATGAAGCGAAAAGCCAAAAATTAGGATTATTACTTGATTCAAAAAAATGCGATAAATAAATTAAAATTAGTCGAAAATTAAATAATAAATAATAATAAACTATCAAATGCAAAACAATTATTACAGTTGCCAAGCATGTACAGCTAATCCTACAGCTCTTCCAAAACATGCACCTATTGCCATAGATGGTAACCATACACCAGCAGGAACTTTTAATCCAAATGTAATAGCGGTAAGAAAAAATTTTAATACAGAAGCAATTAATAGCAACAATGTCGGCTTCCAATGATTTGAATGACTGTTAAATAAATAAATCGATAATATTAGTTAAAGTCTCATTACAAACATTAATACAAATGATTGATTCTTTATAGACATACTTGCAGAGATTATGATAATCTCCTCCAACGCATTCACGAAATAAATTAGCAACCAACTCGGATGGATTAACTCTCATGAATATATTTAAATAACTCACTATTGAAGTAAGTACGGAAACAAAGACAACTTCGTGAACACTAAAGAAACGCAGCCATGAATTTTGACGAAAAGCTGCGATTTTAAGGTTCATTCTTATAAATAATGCACCATATAACCCCTATAGACAATATGATAATTAGCAATATTACAATGACAGTATTTATAAAGTAATTTAAATCATACGCACTCCAATAACACCCAATAAGGCAAAAAATAAAAGTTCAAATGCATGCCAGTCCCTATCATAAACAACCTGGAAAAGTACCAACTTTCCCGTCCTAAACGGATTCATGAACTACATAAAGGCACGAGAAAGTCAATATATTTTTTTTAACAAAAAAATGAAATGTTCAAGACAGAAATAAATATCATACTGCAAGAGAAACGGCAGCAACCATAGCACAAAAGAAACTTCTCCACATTGTTCTAAATGGGAAATAATATGATACTTCCTAAATAACATGAACGTTAGTTTACAATTAGGGAAAATTTATCATAAAGGTATTGTATCATGTTTCTTAAATACCTCTAAGCTAAACAAAACGCCACCAATCGGTGCACCAAATGCTACTGAAACACCGGCTGCGGCAGCTGCTGATAATACCTCGCGCTTCTTTGCTAATTGAGGTGTGATGAAATTTTTTTTTTTAAAAAAAAAAATGAATGATGGAAATACTTCATTTTAGTTAAAATTTTGAACATTACCTTCATTATATCTAAACTTTGGGAACACCCGCGGAATTATATTACCACAGCAACAAGCTAAATGAATCAAAGGGCCTTCTTTACCTAGACAAAGACTAGACGCTACAACAAGGCACTAAAAGTAAAGTTAACATAAAATATTAATTTCAAATTCGTAATTCGTATTTCGTAATTTATAATTTAAATTTATAATAAAATATTAACCACTCCAATGCTTTTAATGATTAAAGTCCACCATCCTAGAAATTTTCGAATAACAAAACCTCCGAGGATGGTTTTTACTTCTGGTATACCACTACCTGCTGAGTATGGTGAATACACTTTAACCAGATAAGCAGCTATTGTGGCAAATAACGTCTAAAAGCAAATTATATAAAATTTCATAAATAAAATAAATAAATAAATTTTATTTTATTTTAATAATTTACAACTTACTGAAAATATTATATAGAATAAATAATTCGTCCAAAATTCAGCAGATGCAGACCTTGCTTGAAGGGCGGTATTCCATTTTATCCATTCGTTACATTCAATTTGTTCATCTACATTGAAATTTATCAAATTTCTTTTATATATAAAGCATTTTGAATTATATATTAAAAATATATTATATATACCAAAGAATTTGAAATCATATACCATCATAACCCAAACAACAAAATCTTCTATTTAGGTAGAACGCAGTTTCGCAATATCCTTCTTTCAAATCACTAAGCCAATCTGAGGTGATGTCAATAATTGCAGCCAGGATTCCAGATGCAACACCTTAACAAACAGAACAATCATATCATTCAATGTCGGTATCGCATTAATGGAATTGATAAAATAACGTACCAACAGCCAAGACGACTATCCATCCTTCCATCGCGTCAAACAAAATATTCAATTTTCCGCGTATACCTTTTTGCTGGTGTAACTTTCTCTGTCGCGCGCGTTCTTTTGCAAAATCATGTATCCAATCTTAGATAATAAAAAAAAAAAAAAAAAAAAAAAAAAAACAAAAGGAACGAAATTATAATATAGAATATGAATGTTTTCTATCAATATTTTATTTCTGTAGTAATAATTCACCTAAATTTATACATCACGGACCTATTGTTGTAAAGTCATCGTATGCAACTCTTCTACCAGTACCCTCCATTCTCCAATCTGCTACATCCCCATCAAATTCCTCGTCATTATGTTTTCTGAGACTTGTAGAAACATATCCACTCTCAAAATTCAACATGTTTTTCGGTGCATCAGATCGAGAAAATAATCGACTACCAGCTGATCGAATCGGGTGTTTACGTTTAAAAGTAAAATCGTCCATATCTGTTCTATTTGAGCGGTTTCGTTGAATTCGATACAAATAAGTGCCGTTTCATTAAAATGAACTCACGCAAAATAATAATTATTATTTATTTAATAAAATAAATAAATTGTTTCGGAACAGTTGGTTGTTAAAGTACTTACAACTTTGAATTTAAAGCTTCAGCAGCCGAAAATGTAAGTTGATCAAACTCGGACAAATCGTCCTCAAGAACAAGAGAAGTCATTCTTGACTCGTCCCGAGTAGGGATATTGCTTGTTACATCGATAGTTGGGTTATTATCGGTTTGGTCAAACGGTGTAGAATTACTTGATGTTGTAGTAGTTGGAGTAAATTGCTTTGAAGCGTCAAGTTCAACGTCCATTTTTGGAATCTTTAAAATGTATTTTGGTAGATATTTGATGAATTTCTACACGTGATTACCGGTACTTCATTAAATTAAGACAGCATAAAATTCATAAAAATCAACTTTTTGATAAAATATAAATATTCCCTATTCATAATGCGCGCAGTTCTCCAACGGGTTTTAAATGCAAGTGTAACAGGTAAAATGTTTCAAATATTTGCACATGTTTCTGGTTTAAAGAACCTTCTTTTTTATAACAAGTTGTCTTTTAACTTATTAGTCGACAACACACAAATATCTTCTATAAATAGAGGACTTTGCGTTCTTTTAGGTATAGCCTCCGATGATACCTTGGAAGATTTAGAATATATGATAAAGAAGGTCCTAAAAGTTCGCATGTTTGAAGATGAAAAAGGAGAGAAAATGTGGTCAAGAGGAGTCAAAGAAGCGGGCTTAGAAATTTTGTGTAGTAAGTGACAAATTACTTTAATTTGAACTTATCAGTTCATATCTTAAATCGATAATTAATTTATTCAAGTATCTCAATTCACATTATATGGAAGTTTAACAAGAGGTAAATTTTGGAAAAAAAAATTTTTTTTATTGCGGATCTTTCGTATGGATTTTTTTTAACGATATCTCGTTTTTTTTTTATATTAGATAAACTCAGTTTTCATAATGCAATGAAATCCGATAAATCAAAAGAAATGTATTCAACTTTCATAAGTAGATTGAAACAAGAATATGAAGAAGGCAGAATTAAAGGTAATTTTTAATATTATCATAACTAACTTGCCATTTATATTACTTATATTGTATTCTATATTGGTAGACGGAGTTTTTGGCGCAATGATGAATGTTAGTCTTGTCAATGAGGCAAGTAATTATCATTATTAATTATTTTGATTTGAAAACTTATTAATTCCTATTTTCTATCATTAGGGCCCAGTTACAATAGAATTGGATTCCCGCAAATTTACCTATGATAAATCCAATAAATAGGGTTCATCTCGTTTTTAGATTTATATAATTTAATTTATTTAACCCATCCATATTACCATGTCGCTGCTGAATAATCATGAAATACGCGTGAAAGAGCAAAAACATAAAATGTTTTGTCATTATAAAGATCACACTGATGAAACATTGAATAATATAAATATATTTAATTTAATAAATCTAACAATAGACACCACATATTGTGATAAAAGAATTAAGAGTTCGACTGAAACATGAAATAAAATTTCGATCAAAACTGGTACAACTATTTATTATAAAGCATTTTTTCTTTATAACAAATAGATCAGAAATACGGGTTTCGATGAAATCTCAAAATAAATCATTGTGGTTAAAAATACTTCTTCGGGATTAAGATCAATATGCTATTCGAAAGGTTTAAAACTAATTCTCATAAAAAAAATGTATTTATGTAAGAAATAAAACTTGCAAAATTGGAACAAGACACACTGTACTTTGTAATATATCAACCACTTTTCCCAAAATTATATAACTTTATCCGGATCATTCACAGCGGTCACAAGTATTTACTTTTTCATGTTGAACATCTCCTACCAACTCCAATTCGTTTATCGCTAACGAACAGTAAAGAGATTTTCATTTCGTTGAATTTTCCCCAACAAGTATATATTTATTGGTAGATTCGTAGATACCTAATGAGTTGGATTAACTTCGAGGTTATTTAAGTTACAATTGAAAATTCTTACGTGTTCGTTGATTAGATCCCTTCAAATTATCATAAAATTATCATGAGAATACCGCATGTTTCTCCATGCAAAATACCGATATTTGGTATAACTTCATTTAAGAACAAATACCTTTCACTTGATTAAAAAAAAAATCATTTCTGATCAAAAACTTTAATGTGACTTCTTGATTATGTATTTATAGTCTTGTTTTGTTCATTTTATTGATACTATCAAGACACCGATCTGAAACTTTTTATAGAGTTAATCCTTCTCTTTTGTACAATCCGAAAAAGGATAGAAGGTTCTTCGAGTTTTCTTGTTCTGATGAAATGCTGCGGCGTCTCATCCAGATTTTCGGTTTCTTGCATTTTATCAGCCCTGGATTAATAGATTGAATGGAATCATTTGGTGATTATTGAAAGATCAAATAAATTGCTATATCATTTAATGAGCGTGCAACTATGTAGAATTTACTAGTCAGATGTGAGCGAAACTTATTTAGGAAAAACAAAGCAAACTAAGTGTGATATCACGTTAAATGATATTATCAATCCGAGGTCCAAAGATCGAATATTTCATCCATTTGCCTTTAGTACACATGAACTTACAGACTCTGGAACTTGTTTGATAAAGTTCACTCAAAAGTTCATGATAGAAGGTTAATGCAAAGAATTATCATGATCCTCTATTACATGCTGGAAAAGTTCAAGAAGATTGAAATGCTATAATACGACTATTGAATGAGCTAAACACATAATTTAATTTTTCGCTTCCTTAAACTTATTTCCTTTCTGTAGTGGTTAATCGTGATCTTTTTCTGACTTCAAGTATGAGATGCGAGAATATAAAGACTTACCTTCCATTCCACAGATTCGTTTCATAATCCCAAAGAACGCTTGGGTCACATTTTTAATAAACGTTCCCTACAGAAAATTAACCTCGAGGACTTCCGAACAAATGATATATTCATTTGTTGGGAAATTGTTGATCAAGAAATATTTATCGAATGTTAATATGAATCGAAATCTGAAACTTTTAACATGACTCCAGCTTAATTATGCTCGTGAAAAATCATTATTACGATTATATATGCAACATTCGACCCTCCTTTATTGATACGGAAAACTTTAAAATAAAAATAAAAATAAAAATTGTAATTAATTAAGAAACGCAAAAAAGTAAGTGTTTATTATCAAATTATCTTTTTCTTTATCCTTTGTTTCATTTGTATTAATCTCACACAAATGGTTAAAAGCAGTATTATTAATCTTTTCAATTTCAGAAAATTCTATTGAAATGTAAAAATAACTAATAGACCGTGTAATAATAAAATTGAAACAATTTTTTTTTGCATATTTTACATTTTTGATTAATGCCAATGAATTTTCAATATCTCTAGATACATTCGTATATTGTCACATATTAAATGCAATTCATTTTATCTATTTTAATACGAAACGATCCTTTACACCATGAAAAGAACTCAGATACTATGAAAAAAATTAACCGAACGCTTAACAATAGGACTCCATCCCGACACCCAAGAAAATCAAGACAATGAATAGGAGGGGTAAATTAGATATTGGCCCAACAATGATATATATATATATGAATTATTTTGAGCTAGACATGTCAAATTTATTATCTAATAATTAATTACTTCTAATATCATATCCAACATTTGAATTTTCCATTTCTGGATATATTGTATTATTAAGTAAATTATTCTCCTAATCTAAGTAGTTTAACTATACACTATGAATATTCGCCCCGTATCCAAGAACTTTATTGTGTTCATTCACGTATAGCATATAAATGTTATTAAGTGTAATTGTGATAAAAGGTGGTAACCCTTCAGAATATTGGAATGTAATCTAGGTTGAAGAAAACCTTTTTAACATCATTATAATAACGTATGTGTATTTTTTCTGGATAAACTTACATTCGTTAAAACGAGGATTGTCTCTTTAGATAGCATTGAATCATGTGCTCTGATGACTTTCTCTTGGACCAAAGCCTTGATTTTGCCTTAAATGTATATAGGTTGATTAAATTGTGATTGGTATTATATTGTGTATTAAATATGCCAAAAGTATGATTACCTGTATGATCTCTTAAAGTAAGAACTTGCTTGGTTGAATGAACATCACTAATCTGTCCTATAATGATTTCTACTTTTCGTGAACATTTCTTTTCTTGAAGAGCTTTCAACGTGATTTTGATCAATGTTTTGGCTAGATGATGACAATAAAAGTTTAATTAATTATATCTAATTAATTAAAAATAAGAATTATCTAAAGGGAACTTCTTACGTAAATCAAGTAGCGCAATCGTATTGAACCATTTTTCCTCGGTAATTTTTGATTCATCTTTCATCAGAGTTTTTTCGCGTTTACTGCGATACTGCGCCATAACGTTATCCAACATTTGCGGTTTATGAGAGATGTCCGCCGATTTTGATACTAAAGTTTCCACTTGTGAAAGTGGCTAATTTAAAAAAAATTAAATCTTTACCATTTAATAGAAAATTATTGAAAACTTTTTTTTCTTTACCAGAAAAGGAAGTCGATTGATTGGTCCTGTAATGCGTTTCCTTGATTCCATCTGGTTGGCAGATTCATTACGTGCCATTTTTAGGGTGTTAAACTGTTCTATATCTTCCGTCGACGTCGAAGAATTTGGAAAATAATCGTTGTCAATATCAAACGATTTTTCCTTACCAAAGGTATCATCATTAAACAAAGAATGCATCGAAGTAGGTTCATATAACCCAGGTATGGAGGAGGATGTAGGTTTTATGAAGCGCTTTTGACTTTTCTCGTTAGGTAAAACTGGAACCATGGAAGAAGCACGTCGCCTTTCCAATGGAGAGATTGAACTAACACCAAGTTTAGCACTTGTCATCGATCGTTGATATGTACCAGTCATATCATTCACAGGATATTTATAAATTTTATCAGATACAGTAGCAGAATCAATAAGTTCTTGAACAGACTTATATTTTAATCTATGATCTCCAGATTTAATAACTGGTGGGTCTTGAAGAACTGAACGACTTCCAAACATAAAAGTATCAAATGATCGTTGGAATTGGCCTCGATCTTCACCTGGCCTTTTGGCAGCTGTAGCGATTATACCAGCTTTATCGATTTGTTTTGAATAATTATTATTCCATCGATTTGGATAAGATTTTGATGGTAATGTAAGTCTTTTTTTTTTAGGGTTATCATACGTATCTTTTTCTAATTCATCATTTGAAGCTTTTTTCCAATTACTGTTTTTCATTTGTTGCCATTTTGATGTTCTCTTATGATAAGGTTTACGGTTAAAAGTTTTTTTTTGTTGAGGGATATCATGTTTTCTTTCTTCCGCAGCTTGATCTGCAAGTTGTACTCTTTTTGATTTGAATTTCTTTGATGGCAATTGGATAACATAAGGTTCTGGTTCGGGTTCGTTCATAATTAACTGACAGCGCCTATGAAATTGAGAAAGAGAGAGAGGGTAAGTAATGCCAATTATTTTTTTTAAAGGGAAGATGAATTTATATTATTAATAACAAACTATTAACCTATAAACTATTATAAATAATAATAAGCTTTTTTACAGACGTTTGTCAAACTCTTATTTGCAAAGTATCCTATGTAACTTTTGATTTCATAACTTCTTATAAATTAGAATAAAAATTGACCACGTGAACCTCGATTTATTAAGTTAATGTCCAAAATTTACAGGTATATATATATATATACAAAAATCAAATCTACGAATAATCTACTTAAAGAAAACAAAAGAAATTAAAACATTAAATAATCGAATTGAACTGGAAAATATAATAGTACTTGTTCGCTATTAGGCTATACTAGTACCCAGGTTGCATCACGGGACGTCAAAAATGGCAACTCTCATCTACCAAGCAAAGTTCCCAGTCTATCTAAACCACACAACGATGCAAGGAGAGAGTGCCTTTGAGTTTCTATCTAAAGTTTATTATTATTATTATTTCCTGTCATCCATGCCCAAGACTTTCCTTCTTGGGCGGTTTGTTTCCCAGTTCTGTCTCTTCTGGGCGTTTGATACCCAGTTATCCGTTCTGGAAGTTTGGTGACCAGTTTCTGGTGACCATAAAAGGAAAGTACATAACCAATTCCTCAGTAGACCTTTTACATGCAGTTTTTCAAAGACCTTCTGATATACATGGGAAATAAATTTAAGGTTTTTTATTCATGTGTGAAGAGTGGGGCAGTTTCTCATACAAATCAAATAATATAAGGGCCTTCCATATTAACGACAACGTTAACATGAGAATTGAAAACGTTAGTCCCGACATTGCAAGAATTTATTTCGTCGACGATGGCATGCCGGTTCCAAACAATATTGCTGTAAAAGAAACCACGAGAGACGTCGCTTTAAGAATTGCAGCAATGGGTCGTGGATGTTTTCCAATCACTTGGTTTGATACTTCGAAATGACGTTGAAGTTATGGCTTTAAAAAATTAACAGCAACAATCACTTGAGGGCGTGGGAGTGTTACATATTCTATAATTCTTTAATAGCAATCGATTATAATAAGCATTAAGGCTTATCAGGTGGATCTGATGAATCAGGTAAATCCTCAGAATTCAGGTTTTATAGATCATTTAGTACAGTACTTATTATGTTATCATACCATAGGTCACTGATGATCGGCGTAGTAAGGTCAATTTCTGATGATGACAATAAGTATACTGAAATAAAATTATTAAAACTATTAGTGTAAAAATCTAAAAAAATAATTTATTATAGACAAAAATTGCTTTATATCCAGGATTTATCTCATGCATTTCTTTTAAGTCTAAAGAATATTGATTTAATTCTAGAAATAACTCTTTTAACACAATCTTAATCTGAAAATTAATGAACAAGTTAATGAAATGATAGTATTGTAAGAAAATATGTAAATTATAAATAAATTGTAAGCTGATGCATCTCATTATTATACATGAGCAATGTAACAAATTATTTATATACATGTGATCTATTTTTTCTAAAGGCTAAGTTACCAGTATTTTGAATAACATCTGAAATTTAAATGCAGCATAAAAAAAATCTCTTTCCCTATTTTCCTAAAAAAAATATTACAAATAAAACTTCAAACAGCTGCAGTCACTTTTGTCATTGGTTAATAACAGAACTTTACCACCACTTGCAAAAAAATAGCAACTAGATTAACAATAATAATAAATAGAACTATTTGTTCAATCAACTTCAACTGCGAACACGAATATTCCTTTATAGATGTTGATCCAACTTCTACTATAGAAAATAAAAGTAAAAACCCAGAAATATTCTTCCACTAATTACTAACATCTTTGATAATAATCAAGTCTAGAATGTCTCAGAAAGTATGTTATCTAAGAAAACTGAAAATAATATTATATACTTTAAACATAATGTTGAAACTCCAATTTTTTTTGCTTATTATATACATAGTCCTTTCTTTCTAACAAATTTAATAGGAAAAAAACAAATATAACATGTGATTTATTTTATAAAATAGAATATCCTCATTCATTGATATTTTAATACATATCCTACTCATGGATGTAATAAAGAAAATTATTAGAATTAGTTTTATAATATGAGTTGATGCTGAAAAAGCAATTGTACTTTCTATTCTTTTTATAGATAATCACATATTTTTAGTATTACCAAAGGGATAGATTACCAAATATGTTCCAGAAATTTTCATCAAGATCACTAAAATTTTAATTTCAGTTATTAACTCAAATATTTGTATAGTTTTTCCTTTTTTGAAAAAATTATCTGAAGTATAATGACAAATAAAAATTTGTGACAATAAACTACTGTCATTTACAATAATATTATAGATATAAACAATTTTCAAAAGTAGATAGTTACTTTATTTTAAAAGAATTTATTCGTGTATATTTTTATACTCTATTGAATAAGAAGTCTATTATAAATTGAAATTTTCCTTGAAACTTATTAACCTTCCTATAGATACTAATAGTAGATAATTGATTTTTATAAGACATACAATTAATACAATAACTTGAATAACCTCAAAGCTAAATCTAATTATCAAAATTTACAATATACTGTTTTCTATTTTAATCTCAAGAAGACTTGGATAATACCAAAGATGAAGAAATATTCTTTCTAGATCAGAAACATTTGATCTGAACAGAATCTAATATCAAACTTTATTTTATATATTCAATTTCTGAATATTAATCCAATAATTATCATCACAGTCGCAAAGCGATAAATGATCAGTAAACTTAAAATTTGTATTAGCACTTTAAACTTGCATAATTTAGCAACTATAAAGCTTTTCAACCTAGATCTAAACCAATTTCTTCCACATCACATCAACAAAACAAAGATAACTGTAGACCTCTCCTTACTAACTCATATCTATGAAACTAAAAGAAAAATGCATCAAAACTAATACCTGCCACTATTAATAATAATATACCTATTTACCTTCTACTAAAACTGATTAATGCTAAGAGTGAATAAATATTAGATAGTAGTATTTATACTAGACTATATTGGTCTGATATATATAAAAAGAATACTATTTATGTGATTAACACAGACCTAATGAAAACTGAGATCAATATATAACAGATAAAATTTTATTACAATTTGAAACTATTATCAAATAACTCGTAACCATTTAATAACAATCTTTTCTTTACTATTGAATGTGTATCAGCAGTAGAATTTACTTTAGATATTTAGTTCTTACCAAACCTGCTGTAAAATTTCATAACAATTCCTTTGCAATAGAAAATGATAATGGCTATAAGATAAAAACTATATTATGCAAGAATCATTATAAATTATAACAAAATTTTGTATCTTTTCAAAAAAAATAACTTTTAAAATCTAATCTAGAATTAAATGTAACTAAACTCAATTATGTTTTTCAAGCAGTTACAGAAATACAACATGTATTTAAACATTTAACTAATTCAGTAATAGTATTCCTGTCAAAGCTTTAGTTCAATTAACTCAAGTCTTTCAAAATGAACAAGAAGAGGTTGCAACTCCACCTTAAAATTTTTATAATTTAATGATAAATATCAAAAACAATACTAATATGTCATCACCAACCTTATTTCTAAATATCACTGAACTAAATTCTATTCCTTCTTCTATTAATTTCGCTACCCATAATGTTCGCTTCTTCAATTATTCTTTTAAAAAAAACAATTAAATAACCTTTAATTTATAGATATCATTAGACTATAAGAAATGAATTTTACTATTAATAAAGATATTGTAGAGTCAACAATTTCATAATTTAAGATACAGTAACAAGTATGACAATGATCAATAAAATTACATAAGAAATTATAAATAAAACTAAAGGATAATAGAAGAAACAATAATTTATTAAAAGAAAGAAGAATACCCAGATAAATTACTGAATGAAAAGAAAAATTACTTGAGACAGATAAATTTTGGAAAGAAATATTTTAGATCAATTAGATATTGAAGAAGAAAGGATAATTAAAAATCAAATGGAAGGTCAAAGAAATGGATAATTAATTAATTGAATGGAAGGTCATATAGAAAGATAGAAATATTTTAAAAAAAAATAAAATAATAATAATTAAAGAAGTAATACGAATATGTAAGAAGGTTATACAAAAAGTATAATAATTGAGAATAATGAAATATACTATATGAGAGCTTATGTAATATAAAGGTTACATATAATATTATAAGAAGAACAGAAATCAGTATTAGAAAAGAAGTTGGTAAGAACATGAAATTCAAAAGTAAAACGGTAATTTGTAATAATAGAAATAGAAATCAATATTAGTAAAATATTAAACAAGTATTAGTAAAATAGTGTGAAGTAATAAAACAAAATGAATTTAGAAGTAGGAAGTAAAATAGCAGAATTAAAGTGAATAGTATATAGTGATAATTAGTTATTCATCATGTGATTTATTATGTAAATTTATTATATATATCTTTTGAATCCTTTCAAAGAACAAAGTTTGATTTTCCAAGTAAAAAAAAAAAAAATTTTTTTAATAAATAAACTTTTAACACAAATAAAAATGAATACTTTTGTTTAAAATGATTAATTATTAAATAATGAAGTCATAGAAATAAATAAAGTTATTTTGCTTGTATATAAACTAAAGATAGAGCTGTAATTAATTTTAAAATTTTTAGCTAGTTGCAACTTAAGTTGCAACTCATTGAGCTGCAACTATTTATAAATTTTTATATTAAAATAAATTTTGCAAGGAGTTGCAACCAGTTGCAACCCAAGTTGCAACTTACCGAGTTGCAACTTCTTAATTACAATGCCATCTTTAATATAAACTATAATTTTAGAAAAAAAATAATAAAATAATGATGAAATAAAACTCAGAAAGAATAATTAAAAAAATAACAAAGACTTATAAAATATTTAAACACAAAAAGTAATCAACAGAAGTAATATTCAGAAGTAATAATCAGAAATAACATTTGGAAATAATAATAGAAGTAATAATTAAAAGTAATATTTCAAAGTAACATTTAGAAATAATAATTAGAAAAAGATAACTAATAAAAATATAATATCAATAAAAATAGTTAAAGAATACTTGAATAACAATAATATTGTAAAGAAATTATAAGACAAATTATTGCTTAAAGTATAAAAAGGATTTTTAGCAATTAAATATTAATTTGTAAAACAAATCCTCTTGATAACAAGTGGCAGAAATGATCAAGAAGATTTAAGTTATGTTGAAGCTTTCAAACTCAAAAATGCTAAATATTTGGGTTGTGATCTAAGAAAATCAGGTTCTGAGAAATTTTTGACTAAAATTAATGTCTTATTACATTTTGGTCTAAATGTAATAAAAATTAAAATGCAATTAAAATCTCAATTTTGATAAAAAATTCTCAGAACTTGATTTTCTTAGATCACAACCCATTTGTAAAACAAGAGTTATGGCAACTACAGCATATCCAACCTTTATTATTCTATTCTCCTAATATATATCACCTTTTTTGAACATAAATAAGTCAAGCAAAGAATTGACTTTAGTATGGGTTTACTTATTAAAAATATCTTATCAACTACATATACAAACATGAAGACAATTTAGAAAAATATAATTATGTTGACATGCAATTTTAAGCTAAATTTAAAATTAGAATTATTAATGTATACTTATCTAGTTCTGATACACAACTTCACATATAAATAATCAAAGAAGTTACTGAGATCATCAAACAAGCCTTTTCCTTAAATATAGGACTTGTACTTCTGGTGATTTTAATGCTATCTCTAATAGATCAACTAATCAATGAATTTTTTAAATTGCTTCATTCTCTCAACATTTTCAATGCTTATGACCTATTACATAACTATACAAATAAAACACAAATGACTTTTTTTCGCAATACATTAACAATATTCTCAAGGATTGATCACATCTATATTTTCTTATTAATTGTATCTAGTATCACATTTTTACAAGTTTCTAATGTTGATTTACAACTCTCAGATCATTACATTATTACAACTAGAGTTGCAATACCAGAAATAGTATATAGAACAATTTCGATAAAAGTAAAAAAAACTGAAATTTCTTTATGATAAAATTTTAGATACTGATTGGATCACATTCGCAGTAAAGACTGACACTTTATTAAACTTCTGCTATTTATTGAATATGATACTTAGTCAACTAAATACTATTTATATTCTAAATTTCTTTTGAAATCATATGCAAAACTGTATTATAAAATCACAAAAAAAGACCTTACCTCACAAATTTTCAGCTAACTACATTTATGACAATCATTCTAAAGTCTTAAAAAAAATTATAAATTCTTTTCAATGTTTATTTACTATCAATATGAAAATAAGTAACTTTGGTTTTTATTTTAAGATATGTCAAAAACCTATGGCTGCGTTAATATGACTATATTACAAAAAGTACTTTTATATATTTTTCAATATCTTTTCAAAATCCCTTTTCTCTTCACATTATAATCAAGTTTTTACTGAATATAGAAATACTGACAAATATTAGGTTATAATTGAAATTGATTAGGGTGAAATTATTTCTTTTATTCTTTAATGTATTTATTATGATTCTCTTTTAATAAAAATTTAACAATCAATTCTCAAATATCAGCTAAAAATACAGTATTCTTTATATATCATCAAAAATATACCATTTAACCAATATAGCCACATATCTTACCTAGCCTACATGAATGATATATTATAACTTAGTAAATCCAAAAATGACTTAAATAATATCATATTAATAGCTGATAGCTTTTATAACCTAAATGATATTAAAATAAACTGAGAAAAATCAGTTCTACTTACCTCCATATCAATTTTTACACAGGTTAACTTTTTAATTAACAAATAATAATATTTAGTTAAAACTTACAGATCTAAAGATTTCATATATAACTTAGATATTTAGACTTTAATTATTCAAAACAAAGTATTTATTTACAATCAAGTTTCTAATAAAATTAATTTATATACATTTATATATGGAAATAAGAGTTCTTGTCAGGTAGTGTTCTGCAAAAAATCTGATTCAATTCAAATCTGATCTGAATTTGACAGATCAGATTATATTGGATTTATTGGATTCGAATCAGATACAGATCCAGATTTTGTTTTGATTCAATCTGTCAGATCCAAATCAGATTCAGATTTGGATTTGATTTAATCCGACGGATTCAGATTTGGATTCAGATCTAATTTGTTAGATTTGAAATCAAAAATGCTATCCTGAAGTCAGACGTAGCATTTATTATTAAAAAAATTTAATTTTTAATAATAAAATGCTGCCCAAAAGTCAGACACAGCATTTATTATTAAAAAATTAATAAAAATTAATTTTTAATAACAAAATGTCGTCCCGAAAGTAAGAGGCAACATTTATTAATAAAAAATTAATAAAAATTAATTTTTCATAACAAAATGTCATCCTGAAAATTAAAGGCGGCTTTTATTATTAAAAAATTAATGTTTAATAATAAAATGTTACCCCAAAAGTCAGATGTAGCATTTATTAATAAAAAATTGATTTTTATTAATTTTTATATTAAAATACCGCCCATAAAGTCAAACATAGCATTTATTATTAAAAAATTCATATTTAATAATTTTTAATATTAAAATATCATCCCAAAAGTCAGAGGCGACATTTATTAATAAAAAATTAATTTTTTATTAATTTTATAAAAAAATGTCATTCTGAAAGTCGGATGCAGCATTAATTGATAAAAAAATTAATTTTTATAACAAAATGCCATCCCAAAAGTCAGAGGCGGCATTTATTATTAAAAAATTAATGTTTAATGATAATATGCCACCCTGAAAGTCAGATGCGGCATTTATTAATAAAAAATTAATAAAAATTAATTTTTAATAACAAAATGCCGTCCTAAAAGTCAGAGGTAGCATTTATTATTAAAAAAATTAGTGTTTAATAATTAAATTCTGCCAAAAAGTCAGATGCGACATTTGTTAATAAAAAAATTAATTTTTATTAATTTTTTATATTAAAATGCTGCCCCGAAAGTCAGACATAATATTTATTGTCCAAAGTGTAGCGGAGGACATTACAGATTACACTAAACTAATGCAAGGTTTGTCTGTTCAAGTCAATCAAATTTAGCGTAAATAATAAATAATAAATCACGTGTAAAATTTCAGAAACTCAGTCACTTATATACAACAAATCACGTGAACCTTTTTCGTTTGAAACTTCTTCATGTTAGCACTTGTAAGAGATTACAAGAGAGATTGGTAGAAAAGAGAAGGTTAATTTTAATGATTCCTCAAATTATACCTAATTGATATATTTTTTTCGGTTATAAAATGATTTGTTACTACCAAATTTTTTTATTGTTACATTTTACTATTACATTGTTAAACTTATATTACCGATGATCTTATGCTTCAGACGCTCTAATGATTCCTGTTACCTAGTTATTAAAATTTCATTTTTAATAATTTTTAATATTTAAATGCTAATCTGAAAGTTGGACACAGCATTTATTATT